TATATATATATATATATATATATATATTTATATATATATATGTATATATTCATTTTTATTCATTTTACTTGGCAGTATATAGGCCTATTTAACATATCTTCATTGCCGGACGGATCACCTTCAACAATGTGAATTGTCCTAGGCCTAAACACATTTCCTGTTATTCAATTAATTGGACCAATAAACGGCTGTGTATTTTTTTTAACTTCAAACTGGACCGCAGAGCTTCCTGGATTTCTGTCATGCGCATGATTGGTTCCATAAATTCCAAGTTTCCCATTAGCAGCAGGCCTACTCCCTGCGTCCTCTGCCTCCAAACGTTTTCCTCCCTGTGAAATGTTATGAGAAGTTGAGGCTGCTTAACTCGATATATGCCTGTGGGAAAATCTATTAAAAAAAAAATGAAAAATGAAATTAACATTGAATATTTCAATGCTGAGATCAAATAAATACTGTAAGATGATAGAAATAATTCGGTAATCGCTGATGTACAGAGGTTTTAATATAAACATTTCGTTTCAGGGAATTGTAATCGAAATCCAACATGTAATGTAGGCCTAGTCTGGTCTATGTAAAAAAGGATTGAAATGTTCTATTTAATGCATGCTCTGCTAATTGACGATCGGGAAAAAAATCCCCGTTCTATTTTTTAAATTGAAAGCTAATAAGACATACGTACTTGGTTTTGAGCTTTCGAATTAGAAAGTGTAATTGCACAGGAATCACAGTACAGACAAGTAATATTTTAGAATCGAACATAAATCAGTTTTCTGTGATTTTATTTTTAATTAATCAATCTCAGCATCTCAGTCGCAGACAAAATATAGACATTCGATCGTATATGTATACATAAACGACACGTCTATTCCGGTATCACGACAGATCGATTAATAATACTTTTCAATACAACATATTAAGCTACTCACAACAATTGCTTTCTGATATTAATTTTCAGACTTAAACAGTTTTACTTTTTCTCTGATAAAATATTGCTAAAGTAGGATGCCATGACGCGACGGTTATAATCACATCTGCTAGACAGATTTCTTCGATATGACCTTCCATATTAGGGATAATAGTAAAGTATTGTGGGTAGTAATTACTGAAAACGAAAAAAAAATATCATATCATAGACAGTAGAATTCTCAACGTGTTAACCTTTGTTGAGGCTGAGATATCTTCAGGAATGAGAAATACTGTACATAACATAAATCAGTGACTAATGAGAAAATTTACAACTACGAATAGTAAATTCACAGTAGAGACTCATAAGCTATAAATAATTAAAACGCATTTACCTATTGCAGTTACTTCACTAACTACTAAATTAGTTGATACCATTGAGGATTTGCCAGCACCTCCCTGATGGAATAATGTCGATTTTGCTTGAGTGATTTATCTTTTTTCTCTATTATGGCATGTTTAATCGAAGAATCGTCCAAATACACTCCCTACTCTCAATACTCAAGCATCTGCCATTCTTATAGCTACTATCCGAGTATTTGATCGTCTCAATTATCAACATTATCCGTTTATGTATTACAAACATGTTTACTTTTTCCTTCAGGTAGTACCAGGGATATAGAATGTACAGTAATAAAAATATTGCGGAAGTTTACTAACGTTCGGAATTAGAGTGATAAGCCCAGTTAAGTCCCAGCTCGTCTTGTACTCGCGATGTCCATCAGCCTCAGGCAATAGTTCTATGTATCGGATTATGTAATGGACAGGCTTGTTTCATGGTCATCAGTCAGAAGGTGCATGTCCAGTTGACTGAGAACACGGGAACACAACGCGCTCAACAGGACAGTGACCAGAACATTCAACCAATCTCTCTGATCCAACAAAGACGAAAGGTAAAATAAACGTTTATTTATTTTAGTTAAAATTATAGTTAAATTATTCGTCACTTTGTTTAAGAATGCAAACTTTTACAAAGGAGTGATGCAAATTACGCGTATAATTTCAAGAGAGAGCCTTCATAAAATTCCGATAGGAAATGTAAACCTTGAATGTGTTAGTGTTCTACTAGTCACGGAGGCCTATATAGATACCTCCGTGGACCAATTATAACTTATCCCAGGGAGCTGTTGTAATAGCCTAAGATCTGATAATTCAACAAGTATTCATTGTTTCATAATTAATTTTTCATTTTAACTACAGTCATAATAATAAATCTCATCTGTAGTGTCAATTTCTGCTTTCTCCCTCAAGGCAAACCAACCAGAAAAATCAAACATTTTCTTATCTGCATTTGCCTTATCAATGCTAAAGTCGATCGATAGAATAAATTACCTCATCCGATCTTCTTTTTAATGTTTTAGGTGAATTTTTTGGTCAATTGATTGTATCATCTGACGTTTTCGTTGATCAACTTTGTGTCCACCTTCTTCTCGATCTTGTTGATATTGATAATATACTGTACTGTAAGTATATCACAGTACAGTATGAATATACTCATTACATGCTAGGTAGATACATAGGCCTAAATAAATATTATTCTTAATGTTTTAAATAATGTCATATATACTTCAAGGAACCAGTGGACTGTGCTTTTAATTGGTTATTTCGTTGTTAAAGTCAGGCTCCAGAGAAAAAAAATTGATATGTTGTAGAACTGATTTTTCTAAGACAGAAAAAAGTTGTTTGACGAAAAACTGGGGAACGGTGAATGAGATACAGATTTTTTAATATTTAAAAACTGGGGGGAAAAGGGGCGTAACTGCCCATTTTTACACCTTATTCCCCCATTTTTTAAATATTAAAAAATCTGTATCTCATTCACCGTTCCCCAGTTTTTCGTCAAACAACCTTTTTTCTGTCTTAGACAAATCAGTCCTACAACATATCAAAATTTTTTTTCCTCCGGAGCCTGACTTTAACGAGGCTTATGTTTTGTATATTGTAAGGCTTATGTTTTGTATATTGTTTGAGTAATATAAGGCCTATTTCATGTTTCACGAGGTTTTTTCGTATTTCAACATAAAAGATGTGCATTAAAGAGACAGATTTAAAGAATGTAAGGAAATGAAAGAAACTACGACAGCAAAATCACCTTCTGATTGATTGTTTAGCGTCCGTATCCTCCGTGGTATGACACGAGGCCAGAGCCATTAGGATACTCTGCTTTCTTTCCTCCATGCTAGTAATCCCACGTGCATTGGAAACAGACAGGCGTAACTTAGCTTATTAAGATTAATATTACATCAGGCTATCTGTTCTTATGGAGTAATTATTCCATGTTCAAGATAGATTTATACATGCATATCTGGAAATGTCATGTTGATAATATTGCGCTATTCAAAAAGCACTCACATGATCGAATAATAATAATATTAATACTGTAATAACTAGACTGTGTCTGTTTGTAAAAGAGAACATAGAGCTTTTCTTCATTGCCAAATGAGAAGTGATGATGAGATTACAAAAAATAAAATCATTTAAAAAGTATAAAGTAAAAAATACATTAAAAACAAAAATAAAAATACTAAAGAAAATTATAAAGTCAAAAAAAATTAACATGAAAAAAACTCGACGTACGTCAGTGAGACTCAAACTGTGGATGCAGTGGTAATACCGAGGGTGATGTTGAGACTTACCGCTAAAGAACCCCACTCTGCGGAGGTCAGTGCATTTTTAGTTTGTCTACCCATCTACCTTGTGTAATGGTATAAGTCGAGGCCGAAAATCATTCATGCATTTCATGGTAATTTAGTGTTTAACATATAACTGTAGCTAGTTTGAAATGCTATAGAAAACGCAAATTGTTAAAAAATTAAAGTTTAATTACGATCATTTGTATTCAAAATATGTAGAATGACGTCATATTTCAATATGCATATCTTTGATATAAGCCTAGGTATAGTATTTGCTTGGACGAAATTTGAAGACGATCCAAGGATAGAAAGTGATCAAAGTGCAATCAGGTTATGCCTAAATTCACCGTAAGTAGACGCTAGAATTGTTGCCAATGTTTTTAGCACATAGAGACAAGGTTCTCAGGAAAACCGTGGCTACCCACAGGAAGGAATCCAACTAGTCTACAGAGATCTGAAGAAAGAGCTGAGACTAGACTGGCCTTGCCAATTCATGACGTTATTACACGTCATAACATGAACTGACACACATTTTGCAAAAACAATAAATTCGCACCAACGCATTTCTCACGCGTGTATGTGTCGTTTGGGGGTTGTGCAATGCGTGGTAATAAAATTATTAGGCCTTAAAGAATTTTTAAGCAGTAAATGAATGCCACTATAGTTTAGCATTATGTCTTATTGGGTACCGTATTGAATTTAGGAAGAATGTGATTGATCTGAAATAAACCAGCCATGCGTTCTTTAAGCTCGACTAATATTTCAAATCCTGACATTAAACTGTCTAATATCCACTAGCCTGCTCGTATCGATTGCCAAAAAAAAAATTATATATTGAACAATTTTTAGAAAATAGGTAATGGTGTTTTATTTACAAAATGATGATGACAGTACATATTACGAACGCTAAATATTAATGAAAGTCCTAAATGATGATAAAGTATTATAGAAATTTTAGTGATTATAATCATTTAATTTAATTTAATTCAGTTCACGGTTTTACACACTGCAGGCATATGATTGGTACAATAATATTTTCAATACAACTAAACAAATTAAAGTAGACTATAACATTTAATTAGAAAATAGAATTCAAGCCAAGCTGCGATGGAAATATACTTGATATTTTGTACAAATAATTATTCTAAGACACTGAATGGATGTTTGAAAGAAATACTCAGGTAATAAGATACGAATCTATATATATAAAAAAACTGGGGGTACTAATACCCTGCTTTCTATGGCGTTTCAATTTTCTTAATATCGTATTTTATTAGCCGTTTTTAATTACTGATATCCAAATTGATGGGCGTAACGTATGCTGCGTTCCAACTTATATTACAATTGAACCACAAGTCGTATGCGTTACAATGTTCACCTTACCGGTGATCACGAATTGCCAAGTCCTGATTGTCGTGGTTTAATCATGGTTAGTTTGGATGCAATGGAATGCAGTAGAATTTGATCATTTAAAAAAAAATACAGACACGAGTCTGAAACATATTCTTAATTCTGATTCGATTACTGGCCGATTCAAATCCATATAGGCCCTAATAAAATAACATCCTCTACGAAATATGAATCGGTTTAAGACTGATGTAACAATAGCCACTGCCTTGAAAAAGCTCTTTTTGTTTAATTGGTGATAGTTTTCCTTTCAGATTTTTACATATCTAAGCTTTGATTTTTTTTCTTTGTTTCAGAATCTTCAGTCATAAAGTGCCACGCATGTAATACGATGGCTACAGCAAAGCGTGCAATTACATTAAGTATCTTTATTTTCATGACAATGGTGCTAATACGAAGCTGGCTGAATAACCAAAATGATGAGTCGTCTGTACATGGACGATATTATAACAAAATATACGACTATGAAACGACGAGCGTGCACACAAAGATTTGGCAAAACCGAACACATACTGACAAATTACATTCCAAATATCCTTCCCAAAACAATTCGTCATATTATCCGGAACATCCAATACCAAAGCCTAGCAGGAGTCGTGTTATGGTCATTCTCCTTGGAAACATGAGAACGGGGTCGAGTTACGTCGGGGAAATTTTCAACCAAAATTCAGATTTCTTTTATGTTTTTGAGCCACTTCATTCTGTTGATGAGCGTTACAACGTAAATCCGTCCCATCAGACAAGTTCGGGAATAATCGCAAAGTACGCTAGTGCCCTACGAAACATACCTAAATGTAAATTTTCCTCCAGTTTCGTTGCTGATATAAGTAACTGGGGGCTAGCGAAGAAAATGAGTATGGATATTAATCAACTGTGTCAAAAGCGACTCACCGGTTCATGTCAAAAATTCACTGTCACTGAAGCTCATTCGTTCGTTGTGCATCTGAGTCAAGAGTGTATGAGTCGGAAGCACTTTGCTACGAAAACAATACGTGCAGATTTTTCACTTATGAAGCTTTTAATCAAAGAGAACCACATGGATTTTAAAATCATCCAACTTATAAGGGATCCGAGAGGAGTTGCGAATGCTCGAAAGAACTACTACGTAACATCACTTCAAAACATTATTCAAAACGGCGGCCAATTGGGAAGTGTCATACTGAATTTGACTAGTATAACATTAAATGATATCGAAAATTCTTCGCTATCTGTTCGAACTATAAAAAGCTATTGTAAATGGATGTGGGATAGCATGGGGTGGATATACGAGAGACCCGATTGGTTACGAAACAGATATAAATTAATACGTTACGAGGACTTTGTCATGGATCCGATTAAAACCAGTCAGCAAATTTACGACTTCATTGGCGTCCCATATCCAGAAAGTGTAAAATCATGGTTAGATGTTGCAAATAAAACTGTAAATACAAAATATGGTATAAAATACGACTTGTTTCAGACAAGAAAAAAGAAATCAATAAAAGAATTATTTCGCTGGAGAAAAAGTTTGACTTTTGAAGAAGTTAATCAAGTTCAGGAAACGTGTGCGGGCGTTCTCCAAGCATTAGGCTACATCAAGTTTAACAGTGACAATGAATTAAAAGATGATACAATTCGGACTCTTTCAAATCTAGATTTTGGAGACAACTCAGGATGACGTTTCACAGTCATTATTTTTAAATATTTATGTATTTATTTTGAGTGCTTGTACTTGCGTGTTGCAATGATGGTTGTTTATCGCATCAAGAAACGCAAGCACTTTCATGGATGTTTTAGAAGTGTCAATCAACTGAACGACCGGCCAGGCATACGCGCATGTCCCACAAACACACGTGTTACGTACGTTTGCTTTGTGGGAGCTAGCAACAATGTCCAAGGGACTGTGCTGACCCTTTTTTGTTGTTGACTGGAGTAACTTGAAAAATAACATTCAATATTTGGAAGCTGCTACTAGTTAGTTTTCAAATGAAAAGTGTAACAATAAAACGTTTTACATTTTTTAGGTTATTTTGTATTCGATTCTACCACAGGTTCACAACTAAAAAATGGGTATACTAAGTTGGAAGCCACGGATATTTGATGAATTATGGCGAATTTTTATTACTTATTTGATAGACATCGAGTTACTATAATATGACTTCATGTAGGCTATGCTTTCTAATGTT